CCTGCATGGTTTTCCACAGGTGGAGAATTTCAGGAAGATTTTGCAATGAAGATGGTCTAGGAGATTCTTGTAGGAAGTTGTTTTCTCCTGTTAGTCATTTGAAAATACAGCACTGTCATGTTTTGGCATTTTTTGATCAACAGAAGGCCAAAAGAGTCTTCATTCTGTCTTTTATTTATTCTACATATTTAATTTTTAAATAATCAGTAATATTCTAGCATTGGCTTTTTATTTGTCTCAGAATACTAAAAGACAACAACCTCATCCCATATGAATGTATAACAATGTAAATTGTTGATATTAAATCCTCTGTCCTTTTATCTCCTTGCTACTCTTCATTTTTCCTCCTTGTTTCCCTCTATTTTTTGTCCTAATTTGGCCGTCACCTGGTTCTGATGAATGTTTCTGATGATGTTTAATAAATGTATGCTGTATTGTTTGTTAGTTCAAATGATTGGCAAGGTCAGTGTCTTAGCCACTGAGCCACCGAGCCATGCGTCCCTCTTTTGAGACATTAGACAAGGGCTAATTCCAACTCTTTCAAGAAACAAGTTGTTTCACAGACAAGGAAAACTATATAACATGCTGATAAAAGTGTTGTTAAGAATGTTAAAACATTCTTAAAAGAAGGAAGTTAAAGCTAAGGAAAATCTAGGTTTTAAGACAGTACGTTTACCCGCAAAATAATAAGTAGGCTAAATTAAGATGATTATTGTTCCTCTGGTAAAAATGGGAAAGGGTTGTATATCTTCACTTTGGGGCCTTCCTGCTTTTGTATTGCTATATTAAAAACAGGAAATAGAATTGTTTAATTATTTCTTTGTCTTAGATGTTGCTTGCTATTCAATTCAGGCTTCAGTGTGATGATATCCCATTTTTTTTTATTATTTATTTGATTTGTATACCGCCCTACTCCCGAAGGACTCAGGGCGGTGAACAGCCAACAATAAAATACATAAATACACAAAATTTAAAAACCCGATAAAATCAAATTAAACTTTTTGGCCCAGACAAATTAAAATACCCCAATAATTTAAAAACAGATTAAAATTTACATATTTTAAAAAGGGAAGAGATCAGGCCAAGCCCGCTTGATGGAATAAAAAGGTCTTCACAGCACGGCGGAAGGAGCGCAGATCCGGGATCCTCCGTATCTCCGGGGGGAGCTCATTCCAGATGGTAGGTGCCCCCACAGAGAAGGCTCTCCCCCTAGGGGCCGCCAGTCGACACTGTTTGGCTGACGGCACCCGGAGGAGTCCCTCTCTATGAGAGCGTACTGGCCGGTGGGAGGCTATTGGTGGTAGTAGGCGGTCCCGTAAATAACCAGGCCCTAAGCCATGGAGCGCTTTAAAGGTGGTAACCAAAACCTTGAAGCGCACCCGGAAGACCACCGGGAGCCAGTGCAGCTCGCGCAGGAGAGGTGTTACATGGGAGCGCCATGTCGCTCCCATTACCACCCGCGCGGCCGCACTCTGCGCCAGTTGGAGCCTCCGGGTGCTCCTCAAGGGGAGCCCCATGTAGAGAGCATTACAATAGTCCAGGCGGGAGGTGACGAGGGCATGAGTGACCGTGCGTAACAAGTCCCGATCCAGAAAGGGACGCAACTGGCGAATCAGGCGGACCTGATAAAAAATCCTCCTGGTCACGGCCGTCAAGTGCTCTTCTAAAGACAGCCGTGAATCCAGGAGGACGCCCAAGTTGCGAGCCCTCTCTGTGGGGCCCAATGATTCGCCCCCAATAGTCAGTGATGGCATCAACTGGCTATATCGGGACGTTGGAAACCACAGCCACTCGGTCTTGGATGGGTTGAGCCTGAGCCTGTTCCTCACCATCCAGATCCGTACGGCCTCCAGGCACCGGGACATCACTTCAAGGGCATCGTTGGGGTGATCCGGGGTGGAGATGTACAGCTGGGTGTCATCAGCGTACTGATGGTACTCCACCCCGAAACCACGGATGATCTCGCCCAGCGGCTTCACATAAATGTTGAACAGGAGAGGTGAGAGGACCGACCCTTGCGGCACCCCACATATGAGGGGCCTCGGGGTCGACCTCTGTCCCCCTGTCAACACGGACTGCGACCGGTCAGAGAGAAAGGAGGAGAACCACCGCAACACAGTGCCTCCCACCCCTAACTCTTCCAACTGGTGCAGCATGATACCATGGTCGATGGTATCAAAAGCCGCTGAGAGATCTAACAGGACCAGGACAGAGGAGCACCCGAGCCCTCCAGAGATCATCAACCAACGCGACCAATGCCGTTTCCGTGCTGTACCCGGGCCTGAAGCCCGACTGGAACGGATCCAGATATGTCGTTTCATCCAGGTGCTGGGGAAGCTGTTGGGCAACCACACTCTCAACAACCTTTGCCACAAAACGAAGGTTGGAGACCGGACAATAATTTACCAACATTGCTGGGTCCAGGGAAGGCTTCTTGAGGAGAGGCCTCACCACCGCCTCTTTCAAGGCGGCAGGAAAGACACCCTCACCCAGCGAAGCATTTATAATCCCCTGGAACCAGCCTCGTGTCACCTCCCGAGAAGCCAGCACTAACCAGGAGGGACACGGGTCCAATAAACAAGTGGTCGCATTCAGTCTAGCCAGAATCCTGTCCACGTCCTCAGGGGTCACAGGATCAAACTCATCCCAGATAACATTCTCAAGACCTGCCCCAGTCCCTCCCCCTGAGACTATCCAGTTGGAGTCCAGATCTTCCCGAATCTGAGCGATTTTGTCATACAGATATTGGACAAAATCGTCGGCTCTACCCTCCAAGGGGTCCTCCCGCGCTTCCTGGTGGAGCAGGGAACGGGTCACCCTAAACAGGGCGGCCGGGCAATTATCTGATGACGCAATAAGAGCAGCAAAATAGCTACATTTCGCTGCTTTTATCGCCACTAGGTAATTCCTAATATGAGCTCTTACCAGTGTCCGGTCAGATTCAGAAAGACTGGCCCTCCAACTACTCTCTTGGCGTCTTTTCCGGCGCTTCAACTCCCTCAGCTCCTCAGTGAACCAAGGAGCTAAATGAGATCGGCGCCGGGTCAGAGGCCGCAAAGGCACGACCCGATCCAGAGCTCCAGCGGCCGCCCTATCCCAGGCGGCCACTAGGTCTCCAGTCGAGGCGTGTGCCAGAGCTTCAGGGAATGGCCCAAGCTCCATCTGGAACCTATCCGGTTCCATCAGGCGCCTGGGGCGGAACCATCTTACCGGCTCCGCCTCCCTGCGGCGGGGTGTAGCGGTTCGAAGGTCGAGACGAAGGAGAGAGTGATCAGACCATGACAAGGGCTCGGTGACTATATCCCCTATCTCGAGATCACTCAACCACTGTCCAGAGACAAAAACCAGATCCAGCGTGTTTCCCCCCGTGTGGGTAGGGCCATGAATTAACTGGGTCAGGTCCATGGCTGTCATGGAAGCCATGAACTCCCGAGCCACCTCAGATGCCTCACCAATGGACGGCAAGTTGAAATCCCCCATGACCATAAGCCTAGGGGTCTCAACCGCCACCGTGGCGATGACACTGAGTAGCTCGGGCAGGGCTGCTGCCACATGGCAGGGAGCCAGGTATGTGATCAGCAAACCCATCTGAACCCCGTGGCCCCATTTCACAAGGAGGGATTCACAGCCGGCCATCTGAGGAACAGTGGCCTCCCTCGGTCTCAGACCTTCGTTAATAATAACCGCTACCCCCCCGCCCCTACCCTGCAACCTCGGCTGATGGAATGCGCGGAAACCTGGTGGGCACATTTCAACAAGAGGGACCCCCCCTCTTGGCCCAACCAGGTTTCCGTAATACCAGCCAGGTCCGCTCCCCCCTCCTGAACAAGATCACAAATGAAGGGGGCTTTATTTACTACAGACCTGGCATTGCATAACATCAGACGGAGGCCAGGGCCCTGAGGATCTGCGCCACCTGGAAAACGAGTGGAGCTTTGGGGGCCGGAGCGCGCCACCGCTCGAAGACAGCGGGCGCGCGCTCCCCTAACATGATATCTACCCCTCCCACCCACGGTACTGATGGTAAAAACCTTATCTGGATGAACTTTATCCCCCCTCTTGACCCCGGGCCCCCCACCCCCCATGCCGTGCTCCACAGCCTTACCTGGCCCTCCCCTTAGTGGGTTATCCCCCATACCCACGGCCTTACTTCTGATCCAACCCTCCCCCCCCCCCGGAACCCCTTAAGACATTTGCTAAAACTTTATCTAAAAAACCCCTCAACCCCCTCTTCGTGACATGCCACCTCTCTAGGTTCCAAAGCCCTTCATCGAGGTAGGCCTTCGATAACATGGAAGGCTAGGCTTGCGAGAGTGGGGAGTCTCGCAAGGCAAAGAGCTCAGCTCTTTAGGGAAAAAGATGCACACAAGGAGCCCCCCCCCTCTGCATGTTATAATGCATTATATTTGAAGTTTTGTATAATGTCACAATACCCAAAATCTTCATTTCAAACCCTTGGTGGAAAATATGTGGCACACACTATTATGCAGAACAATATGCATGGCTTAGGCCCGGGGTACTTGCAGGAGCATCTTCTGCCATCCTCCCATAGTTCCGTACACTCTCACAGAACGGGCCTCCTCCGGCTAGACAATGTCGGCAGGCAGCCCCCAGGGGGAGAGCGTTCTCTGTGGGAGTGCTGACCCTCTGGAATAGTTTGCCCACCGGGCTTAGGACAGATCCCGACCTCCTTTCCTTCCGCCACGAACTGAAGACGTAGCTCTTTCTTCAAATGGACTGACCCCTCTAGGGGCTTTTACATTGTAATAATTTTAATTAATTTTAACTGGATTTTAATTTACATTTAAATTTAAATTGTTGAATTTTATTCTTTGTAAGCCGCCCTAAGTCCTTTGGGAGAAGGGCGGCATATAAATTGCATAAATAAATAAATAAATAATATATCTCCCATCGTTTTTCAAAATCAGTTATCCCCAGCAACATCTCAATAAATCATTTTGTGAAATCATATTTAAGGTGATATAGTAAGAAACTTCTAATGTCCTATCATTCTTTAATAATGCAATAAATAAACAGAAGATATGGATATGGGAGAGGAATCAAAATGGCCTCTGTACACAAGAAGAAGGGCAAAATGGGAAGATGTGGAGAAATCTGTCCCATAGAATCACCAAGACTCAGATACAACTGAATGGATAACAACATCATCATCAAATGGCAAAAGGTTACAGGTATTCACTTTGAGGTCTTACTGATTTCTCATGGGTAAAATAAAAGAAGGTAATGCAGTTGTAGATCTCTCAGTTATTTCTCTGTTTTATATACTGCTTGCTATTCAATTCTGGCCTCAGTATGATGATAAAGCATTTAGGGAAAAAGATGCATACCAGGAGCCCCCCACTGGATGTTATAATGGAGAAGATCTCCACAGCCACCATATGTTTGCCCCCTGTAGTCAGATAACTAGGAACAAAGGAGAGCCAAACACTGCAGAAAATCAACATGCTGAAGGTGATAAATTTGGCTTCGTTAAAAGAGTCTGGTAATTTCCTGGCAAAGAAAGCTACCATAAAGCTGACAAGGGCTAAGAGGAACATGAAGCCCAAGACACAGTAGAACATGACAAAGGAGTTTTCATTACATTCCAGAACAATTTCTTCTGCCATTAAATGCATGTTAAAATCAGGGAATGGAGGAAAGGTCAACAGCCAGACAGTACAAAGAACTACTTGAATGAAAGAGCAGAAACATACAATGGAAACCGCCAATCTTTTCCCCACCCATTTCCTCATTGTAGACTTTGGTTGGGTGGCCATGAAAGCTAAAACCACCACAATAGTTTTTGCTAATACACATGATACAGCTACAGTAAAAATGACACCAAAAGCACTTTGTCGAAGGAGACAGGTCACTTTATGAGGTTTGCCAATAAACAGTAAAGCACAAAGGAACGAAAACAGGAGAGAAATGAGAAGCATGTAGGTGAGGTTTCTGTTGTTGGCCTTGACGATGGGGGTATGCTGGTACTTAATAAAGATACCCAGAACCAACACTATGATAAAAGAGGAAGAAAGAGAACAAATGGCCAAGATGGACCCCAAAGTTTCCTCATATGTCAGGAATGTTAAAGTTTTTGAAAGACATGAATTCTGTTCCTTGTTTGGATACTGATCTTCTGGACATGGAAAACAGTCATCCATATCTAGGAAAAAAATCAGGTTAGAAACATAATTGTTTTAAAATTAAACTCAAAGAATATGAATGCACTACTCTGAGGATAGCCTGAAGTTTTGTTATCTCAGTCTGAGCTCTTCAGCCCTGTAACTGCTGGCACAATAAGCATATGAGCTTTTCTTTTAAGTTAAATTTTATTAGGAGTAAAACTGGAAAAAAGATTCTAATGATAAGACCAGCATTAGAAAACATTATTGAAATATTTACATGTATTTGTTTTTAAGTCAGACTTTAGAAATCTACCAGGGGTGAAATCCAAAATTTTTCCCTACCAGTTCTGTGGGTGTGGCGTGGTGGGTGTGGCAGGGGAAGGATATTGCAAAATCTCCATTCCCACCCCACTCCAGAGGAAGGATACTGTAAAATCCCCATTCTCACCCCACTCCTGGGGAAAGGATATAGCAAAATCTCCATTCCCACCCCACTCTGGGACCAGCCAGAGGTGGTATTTGCCGGTTCTCTGAACTACTCAAAATTTCTGCTACCGGTTCTCCAGAACCTGTCAGAACCTGCTGGATTTCACCCCTGAAATCTACCCATATTAGAAGTATTTCCATAAATATTTCTTTCTAATTCCATTGTAATTATATAATTTTATCTCCAAAAGTGGCTTCTGGTTTGCAGAAGCACAAAATTATATCCCCTCTACATCATCCAAACAAGCATAGCCTTTTCATGGAATGACATGACAGCTTGAACTGGTTTTTTTTTTTTTTTTTGATAATTTTTTTAAAAAAAATTTAAAACATAAACATAAAATACATCTCTTAGAATGAAGCATTGATCCGGTTATAAATTGGTACAATCAGTAATTCATCTTTAACAATATTTCATCTCCACTAATTATCATCTTGTAAAAATAATCATAATAAAAAGAAATAAAACAGAGAAAAAAACCAGCTCACAGTTCACTTAAAAATAACTACCCTTCTATTTTTCCACCTCAAATCTTAATTTCCAAATAACACAACTTAATGTTTTAAACAATTGTTTCTCTAAATTCTATTTTATAATCCTATTATCCAAAAACCTGTTACTTAAATCTTTAAATCCTAACTCAATATATTTTCATTATCTTTTTATTTTACTATTATCTTAAACAGTATCTTAACAATTACTCACAACAAATCATCTTCATTATTATTTATCTCAATATAATCATCCTAATTTAACCAATAATCCCAACATTTGTCTTTATTTTTTTATCCCAGCATATCATCTTCATTTTAGATCATTTATTTTTACTGTAATTTCCAGCAAAATCATCCTTATTTTTACTATTAAACCCAGTATAATCATATTTATTTTTACTGTTACTCCCAACTTCAGCATCTGAGTCTTACTATCACACCCAGTATGGTCATTCTTGTTTTTGCTGTCAAACCCAGCATAATCCTCTGAATTTTACTGTTAAACCCAGTAGAATCACTTTATTTTTTGCTGTTAATCCCAACATAATCTTCAAAGTTTTACTGTTAAACCCAGTATAATCATTTTTGTTTTGCTGTCAATCCCAGCAGAATCATCAAAGTTTTACTGTTAAACCCAGTATAATCGTTCTTGTTTTGCTGTACATACCAGCATAATCTTCTGAATTTAACTGTTAAAACCGAGTGTGATCATTTTTAATCTCAACATAAGTTTCTTTAATTTTACTGTTATACCCAATATAATCACTTTATTTTATAATCATTACTTATTCATATTCATTCACATTCTCTAATTCAGTATATCTAATCTTGTTTTCATTCTCAACTTTGTTTACAATTTAACATTGAGGCTTAATTCTTACCTCTAGCATATCCACATATAAAGTCAATAAAGTTTCTTGGATTCTTCTCATAATCATATATTTTCTTATTCATCTATAGAAAGCTTCTTTTTATCAAAACTATCCATCTTTACTTCATTTTTTATTGTAGACACATTATTTTATTTCCCATACAAACACCTCTTTTTTAATGTACATCTAAACAATACAATTTCGTTTTTTAATCAGACTATTTTATTTTATTATTTTATTTTATTTTATTTTATTTTATTTTATTTTATTTTATTTTATTTTATTTTATTTTATTTTATTTTATTTTATTTTATTTTATTTTATTTTATTTTATTTTATTTTATTTTATTTATTATTTATATACCGCCCTTGTCCCGACGGACTCAGGGCGGTGAACAGCCATATTAAAACAATGTACAAAATAGAATTTAAAAGCAGATTAAAATAATTAAATCATGGGTCGAATTTAAAACTCTCATTTTAAAACCAATTTTAAAACCCCATTAAAACCAAATTAAAATCATTTAACCCATCAGAGTGGCTTGCTGGAACAACAAGGTCTTCACTGGACGATGGAAGGCGCGGAGGTCGGGGATCCTTCGTATGTCTGGGGGTAATTCATTCCAGAGGGCAGGGGCCCCCACAGAGAAGGCTCTCCCCCTGGGGGTCGCCAGTCTACATTGTTTGGCTGATGGCACCCTGAGGAGGCCCTCTCTGTGTGAGCGTACCAGTCGGTGGGTGGGAGGCAATTGGTGGCAGAATGAGGTCTTGTAGATAGCCAGGTCATAAGTCATGGAGCGCTTTAAAGATGGTCACCAACACCTTGAAGCGCACCCGGAAGACCACCGGGAGCCAGTGTAGCTTGTGCAAGAGGGGTGTTACATGGGAGTGACGGGTTGCCCCCATTATTACTTGCGCGGCCGCATTCTGGACCAGTTGGAGCCTCCGGGTGCTCCTCAAGGGGAGCCCCATGTAGAAAGTGTTACAATAGTCCAGACAGGAAGTGACGAGGGCGTGAGTGACTGTGCGCAAGGCATCCCAATCCAGAAAGGGGCGCAACTGGGAAATCAGGCAAACCTGATAAAAAGCCCCCCTGGTCACGGCCATCATATGATCATCCAAAGACAGCCGTGAATCCAGGAAGATGCCTAAGTTGCGATCCCTCTCTGAGGGGGGTAAGATCTCATCCCCAATAGTCAGAGATGGTGTGAGCTGGCTATATCGGGATGCCGGAAACCACAGCCACTCAGTCTTGGAGGGGTTGAGTGTGAGCCTGTTCCTCCAGGGAACAGCCGGGGTTTTCGTGGGACTCATCAGAGCCCGCTATTTCCCTGACTGATGACAGCTTGAACTGTTGAAGACGGTCTTCTGAAGTAGTTAATATGGATTTGATCTCAATCTTTGCACAGCCTGAATGTCAACTATCACAGTATCCCACCATTGCCAATATGTGAGCTGCCAAGAGAGAATAGGGATTTTTCCACTGTGTGACAAAATGGTGTTAAAATCTTTATTCATATCATATTATACATTTACACTTTATCTATAAACTTCTCTGCATCTCGAAAGAGTGCAGAGAAGAGCAACAAAGATGATTAGGGGACTGGAGACTAAAACATATGAAGAACAGTTGCAGGAAATGGGTATGTCTAGTTTAATGAAAAGAAGGACTAGGGGAGGCATGATAGCAGTGTAGCAATATCTCAGGGCTTGCTGAGAGAGACAAACTATTCTCCAAACCACCTGAGGGTAGAACAAGAAGCAATGGGTGGAAATTAATCAAGGAGAGAAACAACTTAGAACTAAAGAGAAATTTCTTGACAGTTAGAACAATTAATCAGCGGAACAACTTGCTAGCAAAAGTTGTGAATACTCCAACACTGGAAATTTTTAAGAAGATGTTAGATAACCATTTGTCTGAAGTGGCATAGGATTTCCTGCCTGGGCAGGGGATTGGACTAGAAGACTTCCAAGGCCCATTGCAGCACTGTTATTCTATTCTATTCTATTCTATTCTATTCTATTCTATTCTATTCTATTCTATTCTATTCTATTCTATTCTATTCTAAACTGTGAGAATGTTTCATCTGCACAAAAATGAATATTTACGGTACCTAATATCAATACATATGTAAAATCTGCATCACTCATTGTTCATCACTCACCTATTCTATTTGAAATCTTCCCTTCTGGACAGTGAAGACAGTCATAACAACAAAATGGCTTCCCTTCTATTCTCTTCTTAGCATAACCCAAAGGGCAATAGTTATTACATAGAGAAAGTGGCTGGACCTGTTCATAAAGGATAGAAGAGAATGCTTTGCATTTTTCAAGACTGTGTAATAATAGTTTTGGTCTACAAAGCTACCACTTTGTATCAGATATGGTGGAAAGGCCTGTGAGTGATGTCAGTGAAAAAAACTAAAAGGAAGAAAATGCCATGGGATTTACAGAGCTTCCACAAATAGTCTTTGTTGTGGCTCTGTGATTAGAATGTAGTCTTGCAGGCTAACTCTACCCATACCCTGATGGATTCAAGGTTGTCTCAGCCTTCCATCTTTCCATGTTTGATAAAATGAGGGCACAGATTGCTGGGAACAATATGCTGAAATTGTACAGAGAGTGCTGTAAAGTAATATGGAGCAGTCCTATTGCTAATATAGCCATATAGTTTACCTTGTCTTCTTTGTATCTTGTCAGCTTCCTACAGCCTTTTCTAGTATTCTGGTAAATTACTACTAAAAGAAATCACATGATTTAGTTTCTATACCATCAACCAAGAACTATTCAATGCCAATTCCTGCTGTGATTTAAGATGATATGTTTTCATTAATGATATGGATTACGTATGTAGAAAGTTCGCACCCACCCATCTCCTAGAAGAATGAAATATTTTGAGGAATATTTAAAAAGCCAGGATAAAATATATCTCCTAAGAGAGAAATAGAAATCTTAAAGGAGACAGAAACTCAGCCCAAACTCCCTTCCCCCAGCAGATACTTTGTGCCCCTTAAGAGAGACTGGGCCATCCTATCTACAAAACAAAAGACTTTCAGCTTCAGGGTGAGGGGATTAAGACATGACCCTCCAGGACATAATAGGATTAACCCACTAGCAGCACCACATTGCAGACTCTTGATATAAGGACTTTATATCACCCAGAAAACTTCAAGAAAACCTGAGACAACCTACAGAGCTATGTCCCCTACAACAGCCAATAGAATGCATGTTCTTGCACAGGAACAGGAAGTTCAAGTTCAAAGCCCAAGAGAAGGTATAAATATCCCCCTCTCTCAACTCCATGTGTTCAGCTGCACCAGAGAACCATGTGTTTGGTGGTTCTCCTTCATCATTAAACCATCTTTCCAATCAGCCTCCATGTTTCCAGTGTCTTTCTCTCAGCTTGGAACTGAACCAAATGGATATTTCTTCCAACACATAATTAAGAGGTTCTTATGGAATAAATTGGGATATTTCTCCTATTTTGGGGGGATTTATTTTGGTTACAATTAAAATATTCACCTTTTCTGCTCTGTCTAAATGTGTAAAAGCTTTGTTCACTTGGTTATTACATCACTTCTAAAGGCATTTTTTCTTCTTCTAACTTGCAGGAGTACTGTATGGCAATTAAACCTCCCTTCCTATAACATCAATCCTTACAAGTTTTCCCAGGCACATCTTTTGGTATTTCAGACCTAGAAATCACAGGAATTATCCCACAGGTGACATCTATTCAGTTAAAACATTAGTAACCTCATCCTAGATTATCCAAACCTGGTTAAACCTGCTTGGCCAAATGATCAATTTTTCATCCATTTTTAACCTGTCCTCTTGGGAAGTCACAGAACCTATTCCACCAACTTTGACTTTCAAAAAGGATTTATTTGGGAATGTAACCCAATTGATGACATCAAACCCAGCCTTGAGTTCTCCATTTTGGTTGAAAGATAGTGTTTCTCCTGCAGTATTATTGAATGAGATGCTTCTTACTATTTGATTGAGCTGCAAAACAAAAGCAAAGAATAAATGGAGGGGGCAAGAAATTCATCAGGATCTGTAAAATCATGAAAGCCTACCTCAGAAACATGGAAAAAAAACCTTTATTTTTTATATGTAGGTTATATCTTAATGGAAGGGGGTTGTCTCCATTTTGTGATAAGTTCTCAAAGACATACAACCGCCCCCATCTATTCTCTGCCTCCAAAGTTCCAGCTGATTCATTTCATTTCATTTCATTTCATTTTATTAAATTTTTATACCGCCCTACTCCCGAAGGACTCAGGGCGGTGAACAGGCACAGAATAAAACACATAAATACAAAAGTTAAAAAATAATTAAAACCAAATTAAATAGTTTTGCCTGAGACAATTAAAATTCCCAATAATTTAAAACAAATTAAAATTTCAATTTAAAATTTAAAAGAAGGGGAGAAAAATTAGGCCAGGCCGGCCTGCTGGAATAGGAGGGTCTTAAGAGCACGGCGGAAAGTGCAGAGATCCGGGATCCTCTGTATCTCCGGGGAGAGCTCATTCCAGATCGTAGGTGCCCCCACAGAGAAGGCCCTCCCCCCTGGGATCAGGAGCAAATGGAGATTTTACAGTATCCTTCCCCTGCCATGCCCACCAAGCCACACACACAGAACCAGTAGTAAAAATTTTTGACACCCAACACTGCTTTCTTGGTGCAGCTCTCAGTCACTCAAGTACGACCTGCTCTCTACCTCGAGACACTGGCCTGCTTCATTCGCCACTGCCGCCTCATGGCCTGCCTGCTGACGTGACCTGCACCACCGCCGCTGTCGCCAACTCATGGCTGAAGTGGCCTGCCTGCTGCTCTCTCCAATATATTGAACAAGATATTTATCTGGCCATTCGAATATATGGAGACAAATTTATACAATTGTGTGTCGGAGATATGTTAACATAATGGAGAGAAGAAACCCCTATGACGGGAGACATTACCTTCCACGGATGAAATTGGAAAAGTTCAATAAATCCTGCTTTGCCTAATCTTGCTCTATGTTTGAAGGACATTGAATAAGCAACATGTAATGTCTGTGCCAAAATATAGGCTGCATTGTAGATGCTATAGCTGTGGCCAGTCATGTCCATTTCAAAAACAGATACAGGGAGGGTCTCTATCTTCTCCTTCCCAGTGCAAATTGGTTGACTCTCCATCTTGTTGGTTTTCTCATCAGCCATGGAGCCTGAGAACACACATCCAAATGCCTCCTTCCAAAAAACCCTAATAAAGTCATCTTCTTCATTAAAGTTTGGTTTTCTTGTCTGAAGAAATTCCTGAAACCCTAGGACCTTTCTTGAATGAACTGCAAAGGAAAGAGCACCATGGAGAAAATCTAGGTCTTCCCGTCTCTGAAAAGGAAGAGATGTGAAATCCATTTGGGCTGTCATAATTATGACTTTACTATTTCCTTGTAATGGTATCTCTTCAAATTCTAACATTGAGGGAAACATTCTCAAAATTATCATTATTTCAATTTCACCTTGAATTAACACCGAATTGACAGTGCTATTCATGACAATACTGTATATTTGCATCCCTTCTTTCACCGTATCAACAATGTCAGTAGAATAAGAAGCAAACGGGAATCTTTCAATGAAGTCAAAGCAGATCCCATTTTGGGCAAATATTGGTAACACATTTTGTACAAATTTCTCCCCATTGTCATTAGTCACAGATACGACCCCAATCCACGTCCATTTAAAATGCTGCAGTAGCTGAAGAATTCCCTTATACTGAAGGTCCATATTTGGAAACATTTGGTGATAAAAACCAGACTGTTTGTCCTTATTTGTCACTGGAGCAGAGCCATACATCAACTGTAGAAAAAACAGAAGAGTTAAGAAAGGAAACAATAAGTTTTGATTTTTTGCAAGTTTGTCCATAGATTTTTTCCCCCTCATTATTGTACACAAAACAAAACTTTACCTACATTGTATCTTAATAGTTTTAGATTTGGCAGTTGTGTCCCTCCAACACTTTCAAGCATAAAATTTTAAGATTCATTGTGGAGAATCTATCAATCTTTGTTTGTCTTAATCTTGCTTTGATTACTTAATCGCTTCCTTTCCTGTATAAACCAGGACATTTACCACAATCTATTGTTTAAACTCAGCATAGGAGCTGATTTATTTATTAAGAATGTTCTGTGACTGTAGCGATTAATATTTGGTGCATCGGGAATTTTCTATTCTGTTTAATTTGAATATGGTTCTCCATCCTTATATTACTAACCATGCAATTGAAGAAGGAGCATCTGCTAACATATGTTTCTTAGATTTCAAAATAAAGTTGAAAGAAAAGTGTTCCTCTTTTTTTTCCCCTGGATTTTTTTAAAAAAATTATTAGATATTATTTACATATACTGATATTGAACACAGTGTGACTATCCTGGTGACTCATCTGCCATAAAAAACAAGGTGAAAGACAAATAACATATATACTACCTTCACAGTGCTGGTTTTGTACAATTATTTTTGACCCGCTTAGTCATTCTGCTACATATATAATTTCTCATTCTGGGTCTACTTAACCTGATTGTTTTGTGTTCCGACTACCACCTTGTATTTCCTGCCATTGATGAAATATGTTCCATGAGTCATAATATTCTGTCTCTCCTTTGTTTTTTAATTCTAATGTTAATCTATCCATTTCTGTGCATATTAATATCTTCCTTATTATCTTCTTTTCCCAAGGGGTGTTTTTACTTTTCCATTGCTGAGCATATACCATTCTCGCTGCCGTCAGGATGTGTAGTATTAGATATATTGACCCTTTACTATAGCCATTTATTATAGTGCCTAATAGAAATAGTTCTGGTTTGAATTCTATACATTGTCCAACCATTCTTTCTAGCCACATCTCAATTTTTAACCAAAATTTACTAGCTTTTTTACAGGACCACCACATGTGATAGCATGTACCAGGTGACTGGTTACATTTCCAACATTTCAGGGATGTGTTGCTAAACATTTTGGCCAATCTTGCTGGGGGGAGATGCCACCCGTAGAACATTTTACAAAGAATCTCTTTATATGATGTGGCCAATCTCAGTTTCCAGTTCCTTTCCCAAAGTTTTTGCCACTTATCCAAATCAATGTTATATCCAAAATTTTAGCCCATACAACCATTGTCCCTTTTAATTGTTCTTCCTCCCTTTTATAGTCTAATAAATATTTATATGTTGTCTTTATCAATCAATGTTATATTTTGACAATTGATGTTGTCATCAATACCCACTAATAGTTTATCTAATATCGTTAATTCTCTGTAAATACCCCATACTTTCACATCTTTCATGTAGCATGACTGTATTTGCATATATGACCACCACTCCAGTTCCACCCCTTGTTCTTTTAATTCTAGTCTTGTTTTCAATTCACCCTTCTCGTTTAGTATATCCTTATATGTAACATATATATAGGAATGTGGTGACTCAATGGCTAAGATATTGAGCTTGTCGATCGAAAGATCGGCAGTTCAGCAGTTAGAATCCCTAGTGCTGCATAATGCGGTGAGCTCCTGTTTCATGTGCCAACTTCTGCCAACCTAGCAGTTAGAAAGCACGTAAAAAATGCAAGTAGAAAAATAGGGACCATCTTTGGTGGGAAGGTGACAGTGTTCCGTCCGCCTTGCATCCATACGTCACATACATAGTTACCTGAGGAAACTTGTAGATATGCAGAATGGTGACCACCTGAAGACATACATCACTGTCAGGTCCTCCAATGATTGCTACT